CTTGCTTCCTTGCTTCCTTGCTTCCTTGCTTCCTTGCTTCCTTGCTTCCTTGCTTCCTTGCCTGGCTGGCTTGCTTGCTTGCTTTTTGCGGCCTTTTATTTTCTTTTTTGTTGCTGTTGCTTTTGTTGTTTTTCTGCTCTTGTTGCTTCTATTACTTTGAAAGTTGTGTAACTGTGTCTGTATATGTGTATATACTTTTGGGTTACATTTGTCGCTCTGTCCCTTTGTCGCTTTTGTTGACTTTTCTGCACTTGCTGCTGTAGCAGGCAGCGTTGTTAGGATAGTCTGTCAATACACGTGCCCTGCCTTCTTCCAAATCGCCTCTCAGGGTAGGGATCAATCACATTTTAGGTATTTTTGTCTACTGTAGATGCATTTTGGTACAGTATCTTTTCGCTCTGGAGGGGGCGCTGCGCTCCCCTCCAGCACCACGAAATCTGCACCATTTCTTCCACTATGCTGCGCCTGCCACGAAAACTCATTTTGCTAGAAGTCGACCACGCTGCACTTTGCCTGCTACGACAACTGTTTCTCTTAAGTGTCAGCCCTGCTGCCGAAATAGTCCTTTTAAAGGTCAGCCGCCCGCAATATTGCGTTTCCTCTTCCTGGACACCCAAACTGTTAGCCCCAAGGACTTTGAGAAGAACATCCCGAATTAAAACACCTTTTGTAAGTGGCCAAGTGGCTTTAAAGCACTGCCTTCACTCACCATGCTGCACCTTCGACGACCGGTCCCTCCTCCGCTTGTTCCACGCCGCACCGCGTTTCTGCCATGCCGTAGCCCAGGCTGTCGGAGACCTGGAAGGCGCGTGGCCTGGAGCCCTACGCAGTGCTGGGCCACAGTGTGCCTTGGCAAAGGTTGATGGCGAGTGGCGAGGACGGCCGTCCTGCGGCGTGGGAGGGCTTCCATGCCACAAAATTAACACCAAAAAATCCAGCATAGTTTCCCCCTTGCAAAAACACAAACATGGACGGTGAAGAGCATTTCAAGGCATGGTCAGGTGGAAAACGGTTGAAGGTTCAGAAATTCGGTGTTCAAGATGTAGAGTATCTAAAGATCCAAGGCAGAGAAGATTTGGGCCAACTTATTCTGGCCAAGTCCCGATCTTGCCTGCACTAAAAAGATATTCATCGGTCCACTGACGTTTATAGCCATCTTGGATTTCACAAGAGAAATCTGAGACTCCGAGACCGAGACTTGCATGCAACTTGATCCTTCCTTGGATGGCTCAAGGGTGGGCAGAAGGACAGACTCTGAGGTGAATTCCGCGGATCGCTCCAAGTTTCCATCGAATTCGAATGACGCTCCTGCTTGGTGCCCTTTGCTTTTGCCTTTTGGGCAGTGGAGCCTGCCTGGACATCAAAACCGAAAGCTTTGAAGATTTGCTTCATGCAGGCAACGCAGGAGCTTTGCAAGGCGTGGGTGCCTGGACCAAGATCTTCCAGTCCTTTGGTCGTGGCGAGCGTATGGATGCAGATCAGCTGAGCAAGCTGGCCAAGGTGCCTAAGGAATTTGGGCCAACCTCTCAAGTCCAAGTGGATCCCAACTTTGGCTTGCAGCTCGGCGAGGAAAAGATCCAAGAGCTTCGCCACTTGAAGGACAAGCCGGAGGACCTCATGAAGCTCGTGAATGAGTCAGCTGGCTTCACAAAGCATTTTGATTTGTTTTGTAATTATATACATATGCTGAATGCTGAAGCCTTTTTTGTGTTAGGGAGGCTCGAACGTACTTTAAGTTAGGTTCTTGACGATTGCAGTGTATATTTCCTTTCAGTGCAGACTGGTTGGTTGTTGAAGTGTTTGATAGAAGAAACATGTTGAGACAGGAACCCTTTGGTACAACAGATGGCCGCCCAAGACCCTGCGATGAAAGAGATCATCAGCAGCCCTGAAGCCTTGCAGACGCTCTTGAGCGACGAAGCGCTGGAGGAGCTGCGACGGCAGAGCTGTGCGCGGACCAAGGGCTGTGCCAAGTGAGGGTGATTTGGCTTCTGAGCAGAAGAGGTGCCTCAAACGGCACGGGGATTTGGCCCTGGCGATGCCCGGGTGAAGCATGAGGCAGAAAACCTGAAGTGCAACAAAGAATCTATTTGCAAGCGATTGAGAGAAAATCAGGGCAACGAAGCCGCTGCTGCCGTGACTTTAGACTCACTGACCGTTGGACTGTTTGCTTTGCTTCATTTGCATGTGCTTTTCTTTTCTCCCAAGGTTGGGGAGTACACGGCTGCAGTGGTGGCCGGCAGCATGTCCTTGGAAGACGGCTTGCGATTGGTAGCCAGGCAGTGCGGCGGCAACAGCTGTTGGATTTGTGATTGATGATCAGCATAAGACATTCACATGGAGCCAGAGCATGACAGAGCAAGTCCCAGGTCTCCTGCCTTCAAACTTCTTGATGTGATCCACCCTCTATATACTGTGGCTGTTAGGGATTACAGATAAAGCACGCCAAATCGACCCCAGTTGGTGACAATCCACTATGATTGGGAAGATGTTCACAGACCGCACTAAAATGTGATTCAGTTTCTGCCACAGCTCCTGAAGCTCCACGTTCTTTCCACCAACCCATGACATCCCATGAGAAAGCGTTTGAGCTGGGTCCGCCAGACCGTGTCGCCCGCTTTGCTAGGCGTGGTGAGCTGATCGACCAGAAGTGTGACATTGGCACCTTGGGAGAAGTGTTGTGATGGAAGACTTGTGGAAGGAGCCTTTTTGAGGGAAAAGTGGAGACGGTGGAGAAGCAAGAGTTGAGAGTTGGAGGATCCAAGATTTCTACTATTGAGGACACCCTTTTTGAGCCACAGGCACATACTGGACCAGACCAACATCCGGTGTTCCTTCAAGTGGTATCTACGGAGAATCTACAGTCTACCGTGCTTCAAAACGCAGAATGAACCTTCCCATGGACTTTAAAGTTGTGAAAACGGGTTCCCACACAGCAAGGGGTCAAGATGAAAAAAATATAAAACAACAACCTACTCAAAAAAAACTCAGTCCAGAAACTCAGATTCCAAAGCCACTCAAATGAGAGACTCAAATTGGACTCAGATTGGACTCAAATTGGACTGAGATTGGACTCAAATTGGACTCAGATTAAACTCAAATTGTACTCAAACATGGTTTTTGAGTTGTTTTTGAGTTGCTTTTGAGTTTTGTTTGAGTTGTTTTGAGTTTGTTTTTGAGTTGTTTTTGAGTTTGTTTTGAGTTTTGTTGTTGAGTCTGTTTTGGATTTGAGTTCTTGAGTTGATTATTTTTTGATTATTTTTTGATTATTTTTTGTTTTTTATTTTTTTCAATGATTTCAGCCCTGTGTGGGCACCACGTTATCCTAACTTTAAAGCGAGGCATTCGCTCTTTTGATCATTGCAACAGAAAACGTTGACCCAAGACCCAAGATTGGTAGCAGCGACCCGGTGCACGTGGCGTGGAGGCAGCTCGATGCTCAGGTGTTGGGTCGATGGCCTCGATTTTCGCCAGCCGGGAGCAGGTGCAGAAGGCAGGAACGATGCTCGTAATTTGGTGCGAGCCTCGAGCCATGGTTCTTACGGTCCTTCAAGAGTACAGTAATTACATGATCGCATGATCGAAACACTATTGAAAGCAGACATGAACACTAGTTTGAATCTTAATTCTCTCTCTCTCTCTCCAATGTTTCAACATACAACCTGGTTGTGAATTGTGACGAGGATAGTCGGCTTGTTTGGTCGTTCCTGACCAATGCGTCTGATCCGAATCGTCCACTGGTGTGACAGTCGCCTATTGCTTTTCCTTTCTTTTTCTTATCACTATCTGTGTACTTTTCCCATGTTTCGAGTGGAGCTTCTCATGAAAGGCACACTTGTACATCCACCACCTGATGTTCAAGAACCTTTTTGATCCTTTTTGAAGTTCCGAACATCAGGGAACACCTGACTGCACAGCGCAAATTATGTTGTTTGTTGCCATCAGGTTTGGTGGTTATTAGAATTCTTTCATTCACCAGATCAGTTCTGGACACCTGAACAATCAACAAGACAGGTTGCATGCCCTTTTCTGTCCTAGGAATAGTAGAAACTAGACATCGAACATGGAACACACACATTTGGCAAAAGGAATATCTCCAAGCAAACTTAAACATGGACCTCTGGAACACGATGATCTTATACAAACCGCTGCTTGTCCACCATCCGTTTCTGTATGGCCTAGACTCCTAGACCTATTGGGTCCAACATAGCCTTCGTGCCCCACCAGGCCTTGCAGGAGGTGCAGAAGGACCTGAAGGACCAGTGCGTGGTCATTGCGGCCTGGGCTCCCCGGGTGATGGTAAGGGTAGCGGACACCGCAAGATGTGTTGAGGCATGAATGTCGTTTTGAGGATGTGGTCTCCTCAAGATCCTTGGCATGTTCATCGCCAGGACCACTGTCCCGTGTCAAAGCTACCTTGCAACATGGACAGACACACCGTTTACTTTGGGGTTATACTACGTTGTGTACTCATATATATATATATATAAAACTCCTGAGTGGCAAAACCTGGCAAGAGCTTTCGTGCACTGGAGGGTGGAGTTCCAAGGCCATCAATGGCCCAGCGCAGACGGTGGTCTCTGGACACAAAGGGGCTGTAAAGCACCTTGGCACGAAAGGTTCAACTTGTTGGCAAGGTTGGGAAGAGTTCAAATCTAGAGCATGAAGTGATTCTCGCTGCATTGCTCCCAAGGCAAATGAATCAGTCTCAAAAGAATCTCCATCTTTCAGAGGAAAGGGCGTGAGAATGACTTGCGAGCGGTGTGCAATATGTTCTGTTGCAGGGCTATCATGTCACGCCGAGGCTGGTTTGCGACAAGGTGGGTGCACAAAGCAAAGTGCCGCTGGGATGGCAAGACAGCTGCCGCCTTGTGTGAGTCTTTGCTTCAACAGTGCCCAAGATTGCTTTGGATTTCAGAAGAAATTATAGATTTAGTTTGAACTGGGGATGAGGACTTGGGAACAGTGGGAGGTGTGAAACACGTGTTGTGCGTGTAGGGATCCTTGGAGGTTTTTGTTTTGCCCAGGTCACAAACCACCAAACTAGCTGCTGGCTCGAGACCTTATAACACGATTTGATGCAAACGGATTCATGCGATGCCAGTCAATCCATGTTCTTTGGTTTTGACCAGATTGTTTCGCGTTTGTCAGGAGAGAACTAAGGACTAGTGACTTGCGATAGTGCACTGTTGACTTCGGTGACTCCAAGGGAATCGACACACTCCTGAACCATTTACCCAAAGTGTTCCTTCACCACTTGACCATCAAAGTCCAAGCAACCTCACCATGGCAACAGTTACAGTTGGCCCAGCATGATGCCAACAGCTTCACAGCCTGTCGCGTACATGTGGCTGCTGAGGTTGAGCATCCCTCACGCTATGCACTCGCCCTTGATGGCGCCTGTGCTGCCTGAGCTCCTGGAAGCCGCGAAGGGCTGCAAGCAGCTTTGGTGGCATTTCGTGTGAAGCAAGGGCTGCGCACGACGAGGGGTCTTTTTGGGAAAGGGTGGGCAAACACGGCTTATATAGAAGCACGTGTGATGTTTGTCTGTTCATTTTTGGAATGGGCAGGAGCTCAACACTTGGGACGATGGGGTTTTCTCGCCAGTAGGCAGCCACAGCTACAGCCTCCGCTCCCAGTTCCCGAGGCAATCTGAACTTGGCAGGTTTCGAGGGTCTTGCGAGGTTGAAGGAAGAATTGGGGTGATCCGCGAACTGCCCTGAGTCGTAGTTATTTTGACAAGCCCTCAATACAGAGCAATTCCCAATCGAAGGCTTGATCGCCTCTGCTGATTGGCCCGCAGGTTGCAGCCACCTCGGAAAGATGTGCACTTCATCTCCAGTCTCTTGGGGAAGGAGGTCTCTAAGGAGCTCTCAGTTTGTAGAGATTCTGGTGGAGCGTTAGCGTTGGCCTGTCATTCGCACCTTTGGTGGAAATGACCTCGTCTGTTTTGGTGCATGAAGCAGGCTTCCATCCAATTGAGGAGATCCTACAGAGGGTGGTCCCCCCACCAATCACTCAACACCTTGGCGAATCTCCATATGTTTGGTGCGATGTTGTTCTTGGCAGGAGCTTTGTGACCCTGCGTACTGGTTGGGTGCGGCACTCAGGGTGCAGAGCTTGGGGTGATGGATTTTTCGTAAGAAAGATGAAAGCCATGGCTCCATGACCCCAAGCTGTTTGAACACTTGCTGAGTCTCAACGGGCTCATTGCAGATTTATGGCCCAAGGCTGTATGGATGTGGGTCGCCGCTGCCTACCCCTACAAAGATTTTAAAAACCCATCGATCCACTCAAAACATCTTAAAACTAGACTAGACACAAAGAACCACAGACCAGTATATAGCTCACATCCTGTGGGTGCATTTGTCCTGCTGGAGTTCACTGAGGATTTGTGGTGGCACGGGGGATGGTCAACACGTTCGTGTTTAGGGTCAATTGTGGACGGACTTTGGAGCACAAACCCCAAATAAAAATAGTTACTCATCATGTCCAATTCCATGTCCTGACGTGGGAGCAGTGAGTTTTGACTAGACCTCCCATGATGCTTTTTGACAATGTTCACCAGATTTGATGGTTCTTAGCTCATCGCACTGACTCATTTGTGGGGAGCTTGTAGCGCCCTCCATCCGGTAAGCCAGCTTCCGTTCCTGAGGTCATGACGAGGCCAAGCCTATGCTCTTTGTACAAGGTGGGTAGCATGTGGAGCCAAGCTTTCGCTTGAAGGGGTCCACTTATAGACTCACAGGCGATACAGAAAAGATATGATATGATACAGAAAGTGGACGATTCAATTTGGTTTACAGGGTTTGATAAAGTAAGCCACAGATAAAGGTAGGCGAAACACAGATATGGTCGGGTTCAGAGGTCCTGCAAACATGTAGACGTGACTGAAGTCTCGCGTGGGAACCATGCCTGTGGCGCAGTGCCCCGGAAGATGCGACTGATGTGTCCTTGTTACTAGTAGCTTCTTGTTACTAGTAGCTCTGCCGATGCCGCAGGGATGTCGAAACTCCGACAGCTGGGCTGCGATGCATTCCTGGAGATTGGCCCGCAGCCAGTGCTGGTGAAGTGCCTAAGCTGCAGTGCTGTCTACTGTGATTATTTGAACAACCATGAAGCAATGAATGACCGTCACCTGCCATCCAGCACCTCCCGGATCTCCCCTGACTAGTACTTGAGGGTCAGACCGGTTCTTGAGCTTAGGATGGGCCGCCGCTGCGTGGCGGAAGAGGCTGGTAGCACATGGTTTCGGACAGAAATGTGGAACAGGTTATGGTGCAAAGCATAGAACTAGTGGTTTGGTGCAAACTATCATTCTCGGAAGTACCGCCTATTGTACGTACCGTGGTACCATGGATAGACGTTGACATGTAGGTGGCCAAAGATTTGGAGACTTGCAAGTTCTACCATACTTTTAAAGTGACTTTCCATATATAGCGAGGATAGGACCTGCACTACTGTGCTTTCTGGTAGCCCAACTGGGATGACAAGACATGACCAGATCGCCTTTTTGCATTGCAGGAATCAAGCAAGTATATATATATATATATAAGTGTCGAGCAAACCCATCCACTTAAACTAGGTTTGATCTGCCATCAACAATGAACTGTAACTGCATTTTTTTCCGACAGAATTCAGAATGCATAGACATGACAACCAGCACATCATGTGAATCGCTCCTCATACACCTTAGAATCAGCGCAGGCTCATAAGGGTGGTTGCTTGATTCTCTGATAAGATCTCCAGGAGAAGGACCAGGAGCATTTGGAGAAGCTCCAGTGGCTTGCTAGCTTGCAGCCGGGACGCAACTGGGCATAAGAAGCCACAGTTCTACACTGCACATAAAGAAGTCTTAGACAAGCTTTGATGGGGTTCAAACACTATTTTGACATGCTACAAGAGAATAGTGTATGCCTAAGAACCTCTCTAAGAGTTGCAGAAATCCCTAGGTCACCCACTTTCTGCCACACACAGACACAAACACATGCCTACACTGAGGTGATGAGGTCGAGAGCATCCTGATTTGCACCCGCGCCTTGGGCGTGGCCTTCTCCCAACCCTCGGAGCTCACGAACCCGCAATCACTGCCATGGCGGCCACCGATCCTGCACCCATTGCGCCTTGGTGCGGTTTTGGCTTGGATGGCATTTCTTGTGAGGGAAGAAGGCTGTGTACTTTTTTTGTTCAACCCACAAATAGTTCTTTTTGATTCTTTTGTCATCACGGCATGTTCAATGAGAGGTTTGCTAGGAAGCTGGGAAACCGCAGGACGCTGGGCCAGGACGTGAGATTGTCCTGAAGTGTTAGGTTGGTAAAATATGAATCAGACTTCTGAGTCGCAGAGCCCAAAGTTTGGCTCAAAGCAGCTCTCGCGCACTAAGTGGTGCAATGAGCAGACGTGCCTTCCTAGTTGGGGTTGACGATTATGCTAAACAGCCTTTGAGGTGCGCAGTCGCGGATGCATCGGCGTGCCATGATAAGCTACGTAGCATTGGATTCGCTTGTACTGCTTGCAGGAATGCCACAGCATCCAAGTTTCTGCAGGAGATGTCAAGGTTTGAGGAGAAGGTCGAGGACTGTGACAGGATGAGTTTCTACTCTTTAATTTCAATGGCCACTGCGAGCTGGTGCACCAAAAGCCTACCTTGATCTTGAAGGATGGAGAGGGTTCACCAGACGGCACCGGGCAAGTGCCCTTCGACTATATCATCAGAAACTTCATGATGCTACGCTGCAGCAAAGACGCAGCGTTCTTGGTTCTAATGATTTGCTGCCGTAGCTCACCCTGTACACCGCAAGAGTTTGGTGAAAGAAGCCAAGTGCAAATACCTGAATACAGGGCCACTGATAGATCGTTGACCATTATTTGGGCATCGGCTCTCGGGCGTCGTGCTGCTGATGGTGCCGACACTTCCACAAGTCACTTCATGCGAGGCTTTCTTCGATCTATCGAGCGTCCGGCACAGTTGAAAGAGATGTTCAATCATATTTCCAAGTGCGTCCAAAACAGTCGATTGAACCAGAAGCCATGGTTTAGCTCAAACTCCACTTCTTCCGGGTCAGATTTCTTCCTGCCAGAGGTTTTTCTGAGAACTGGGCTTGCAGAAGAACCAGGTGCCTCAAGTCCCACATTGGATTTTAATTTACAAAATGTCTTGTTGGGCAGCTTGCTTGGAGGACCACCTCCACCCGGGGAGCCTAATGCAAAAGGCCCCCCTCAGATGCTGCCTGCAGCTTGTTCCTTTTTTTCGTTGTTTCGTTGGCAGAGTTTGTACGTGGTGCAGATGTTCTGCCTTCCAGATCCTTTCTGTTGCTGAAGTGATTGGCAGTGCTGTGTGTCAATCTGGAGTCTTTTTTCCGCTGGTGTTCTCCTTCAAACCTCTGGCAAACACTTGAGACAGAAACCGTGGTTCAGCTCAAACTCCGCCATGTTGTCTTTCAAGTTTCCATACGTGCGGTGGCTTTGGTGTCTCATCCGCAGTTGCCATTCTACTGTCAAGACGACCTTTTCTTTTGCCTATTGCCTGGGGAAGGCCATGGGCCAGGCAATGTCTTTGACCATTGTTATTCAAGACATCGTGTCCATCAAGCAGACCGGGTTCGTGCCACGAGGCGCTTCGGGACGCTTTCTTGGAGCATGTATGGGTTTCTGTAGCTTTTACCTTTCCCTTTACTCCCAGTGATCCAGCCTCAACAGGTCCATGGTGGATCGTTCCGCCTATCTCACGATTGCCTGGTTGCACATCTCTCTTTGCAATTGCCTGGATAGCTGGAGAGAGGACTTGCCGGACTTCTCTCGCAGTGGGCGGACTTTGCCCAGCCGCCTATGCGGCACGAGTTCATCAGCCCAAAAGGTCCGACGACAACGCAAAGCGCTAGGATGAGCACCTTTGTGTCCGGGATGACACTCTTTGTGCGTGTGCACCTCATTTCTAAGTTGACTTCTCCACTCACTTGGATGATCATGGATGATCCAAATTTTGGTCTGAGTCCCATCACATCACTTTCCTTCTTCCCGCTTCTCAGTGCGGTTATACATATATACACAGAATATAGGTTTGAGGACCTCTACTCTGACCAAACTCCTTCACAGTCCTTCCCTGTCATCGTGAGTCTTCACCTTGCAGCATCCACACAGGCTCGGCCGGCCGGTGGATGAGTTCCTCTTCGAGGCCAGCGAAGGCTGCACCGACCTGGAGGGTCAGCAGACGCTTGGGCATCCATGGAGAGGGGTTTCTGTTATCCGAGGGAAGCTTTGTTAGGTGCGCAGAACATCCATTGCCCAATAGATACCCCAAAAGGTACACGGTACACGCTTATTCGTCAGTCTCGGGAACCTGTGAGTTTTGACATTGTTTGGGTGTCCAGATGAAGATGCAGAGGAGTGTGGATGGACCAGAGGTCTGAAACATGACCTAGCAAAATAGATCAATACCTCAACATAATACCTCAACATTAGCACCACTCAGTTTTTTTGTTTCGCCATGCCACAACAATTCCCTGCCATGTTCCAAGATGCCCATCCTTCCAAGGTGGCGCAGAATTAGGAGAACTTGTTCATCAGAAATATGGGTATGGCACTGGTTGTCGATTGGCGTTTGGCCAGTTGCAACGGTGGGAAAGAAGAGGAAGTTGAAGGCGTCGTAGAAATGACTCATAGGGTGCACCCAGTAAGGCCAAAATGGTTCTAGTGACTATGTTTGATCAATGCCGCTCTATTTCCTAACCTCAGATCTGATCTGGGTAGAACTCCGGCTTAATCCCAGGTGCCACACCAATTCAATCCAAGTCTTTGACCTCTCACAGCTGAGGATGCAGCTCTTCAATCAGCACCAAGTCTTCGACCGTGTGGTGCTCCCTGGTGCCAGCCACCTGCTGCTGGCAGCTGCCGCACACCTGGAGCAGCTGGGCGGGCGCGCAGCGACCGCACTGGAGCTGACCGATGCCATTTTCGAGTGGCTTGTGACGGTTGATGGGCAGGGGTTGCTTTGTTGGGCTTGATGATTGTAAGGCTCTTCAAAGTTCTGCTCCCTTCCGGTCCTCCATCCCAGATTCTCGTTTCTCATGGAAGCTGCCCTCTGGTCCCAGTGCCAGAGTTCATGGATGATGCAAAAACCGTAAACCAGTTGACATTCACCCTCTCCCTCTTTCCACACCCACCCATCCCTCCCCTCCATCCACGTGCCTTCCTTGTGTCCTCAGTCTCTCAATTCGAGGCTTCCCTTTGTGGTGGAGGCACCCTTGAAGGTGCAATGCTATGCCTCGCCTGAGCGCACCGAAGTGCTCAGCCGTCCTGCCGACGATGACACCGCGGCGCCCACCGTGCATGCACGCGTGGGCGGCGTGCGACCGGTCGCGCTGGAGAGGGATGCCGAGAAGTTGCAGAAGTGGAGTGACTTGGCAACAAGTAAGAACTTGTTCGTTTGTGGGAGGGTCTAGCAGGGATTGCTGTTTACTGCACTATCAGCAAAGAAAAGCAGGTGTGTGCGTTGTCCTCGGTTGAGCATATGTGACTGTTCCGCAAGTGATACTGAGGAGAGCAGATCAGGAAAGTCAAACACGTCTATATACCCAGGTTTCATGTTTTATGTGGAAGGCCTTCTCTGGCAGTGGTCACGCTAGTGTTCTAGGAAAGACAATGTGAGATTCCATCCTCGAACCAAGATAGCAACGTGCTAATCAGTTTTGCAGATGAACTTCTTAGTGGCTGGGGAAGAGGCAACGCAAGGTTCACCGTCACCTTATTTTTGTGTACTGAGACAAAAGCCTCTCGGGTTTAGGATAACGCCTTCCCACCGCATCCTGCGACCTTCTTCTTCTTCTTCTTCTTCTTCTTCTTCTCTAAGCAGTCTAAGTGCAAAAGGTCTTTCTCTGAGACTTTCTGTTACGCCTTGCCGAGATGAGCACTGACTGTCCCAGTTGTCCTTTTATTCTCAGACAATCCCTACCACACAGCTCTCCCCAAGCCATTGGACTCGTCTTGGTTGAACTGAGGAGAGCTTTCTGCCGATGGCAAGGCAATCGAGAACCTTGAAGATCTTTACAAAGCCTTCCAGGAAATCGTAGATGCACAACTCTTTTGAGCACCATGTACCATACATGGAACGCCCATTTGTCATTTTGTTGAAATTATTGATAGCACATCAGAGCTGGAGGAGGCCCATCAGACACAGATCAAGAAAAACTCACTTCGGCCGTTTGCATCCATTGTGTGTGGTGACCCTCCTTCAGATCGGCCCAGGTTCGGATAGGGTAGGGTTGCTTTGATCTGGCAGGGTGAACAAGATCCTCGAAGGCAGACCGTGTCTCCCAGCTGTAAACGCCTCCAGTCTTGTGTTTTGCCATTTCTTGAACTGATTTTCGCTCGATGCTGAAGATTTGCCCAACAACTGTATCTGCGGGTGAGGAGAAGGGCCTGAACTATGGGGAGTCCTTCCAGACCTTGACCAGCGAGACCATCTTCGGCGAGAAGGCCGCTCTGGCGCGCCTCCGCAACCCATCCAAGACCAGCTGGGAGACACTTGGAATTACGACAGTGTGGAGTGCAGAGGTGGAGGCATTTTAATGCTTGTTGTGCTCTTGGATAGTACCCATGAGAATTCCCCTCAAGCATCCATTCCCCTGGTAGACCAATTAGTCCGTCTTTGTTGGCCGTTGGGGTGAATAAATGATGCGGTGTGTGGACTGATTTGTGCCTGAGGAAGTCCTTGCAGCTGTTGCACCCCGCCTTGCTGGATGGTGCTCTGCAACTTCTCGTGGAGTCCGCCTCCCGTGGTGCGCCGGGCACTACTTTCCTGCTGCTGGGTTGCATTGGAAGTTGGGATCAGGCACCGCACGAGGTGGATGTGGACTCTGAGACCCTGCAGCTTTGGACGAAGCCACCTCAGAATAAAGGACGCTGCAGTCGTTTGTGGACGTCAGGTGGCGTGGGATTTCTTACAAAAAGCGGTGGGACATTGGAAGCACCGCGTGGCCAAGGCCCTTCGCGGTGCGTCGCACCATCTTGGCGGCGCAGTGTCCAACGGGCGAGCTTTGGGCAGGCATCCAGGTGCAGGACACGGAGTGGTGGGCGAGAGTGTGAGCTTTGATCACACAGCGCTGGTTTTTTTTTTGCTCCTAGCGATGCCAGGAGCCCCTAGTAGCGTCCTTGCTCCTAGTAGCGATGCCCTTTGCTCCTAGTAGCGTCCTCTACTCCCCCCAAGCAGAACGGCCGTCTACCCCGCAGGAGCGCTCTGAGACCTCGCTGGTGGCAGATGTCGAGGCACGCTTGCAGTGGAAGTCGTCCAGGTCGATTGAGCCCGCTCTTGATGGGTTCATGCCAGATTCGATTCTTCTCTTGGGTGTCACACACTTAGGATAGGGTGTACTGAACTGAAAGCGGTGCCACACGCCGGCCTAGGGTTCCATTTCCTAAGAATACCAGTAGGGAGCCAATGAATCCTGGGGGTCTTCAAACGGAGAGGTGGCCTGAAAGGAAAGGAAAAGAGCGACGAGCGCGAGTCGAACAAGGTGACGGCGGGCCGCTCGTGTCTGCCGATGCATTAGCCCTTTACCAAAATCTTAAAATTCAAGCAGGTACACAGAGCTGATCAGGCTCTGCTTCCCAGATGCAAGGTAGCTTTGTTAGGCGCAGTCCCTTGCATCTGCTGCGCCCCGCTGCTAAAAGCTCAAAACAATCCGAAAGGATCCCTATGATTCCAAGGGTTACACACACACGCCTCCCGAAGGGAGGCATGTGTGACCTCCATCCTGCCCGGAAAGGAGGTAGGCACATGTGCACGCAAAAGGGACAGATGAAAATGAGAAGGACAAGACAGACAAAGGTGTGTGTGGTTGCCGATGAAAAGGAACCAAGTGAAGAGGGACAACCGATGAGCCAAACCTCATTGTAACGAACCTGGGCCACCTGAACCTCGCTGTAAGTAAAGTACGCGTGCGTGTATGTGTACAAACTAAGGTCCGGACGAAAGTGCGCGCAAGAGAAAGAAAGGATGAGGATGAAGAGACATGAAGACAGAAAGACATGAAAGAAAAGAGGAAAAAGCCGTCTGTGGGGGCCGATGAAAGGGGAACCAAATGAACGGGGACAAACCGATGACAAACCAAACCTCATGCAGAAGCCTAGTTTGCTTGTAAACACGCCGCGCGCGAGGAAAGAGGGGGCAGGGGGAGGAAGAAAAGAGAGGGAAAGAAAGAAGGAGACAAAGGTGCTCCCAGCTACGACACATGCGTCCAGGGACGCACCAAAAAGAAGGGCTCCCAGCTATGACGAAGCATCCAGGGACACCCAGGGAAGAGGGTGAAGAGAGGAAAGAGAGAAGGAAAGAAAGAGAGAGGGAGAGAAAGGGAGAGGAAAGGAAGGTGTTCCCAGCTACGAACAATCGTCCAGGGACACACCCAAGAAAGAGAGGGGTGATCCTGAGTATTGCATTCAGGAAAGCCCCAGAAAGCAAAGAAAGAACGGGGGAGGGAAGGGGGAGAAGGGGGGGCTAAGTGCTCGACAGGTTCCAATGAACCTTGGACAAACTTCGGTCGCTGCGACCGCGTACGGCTTGCCCAGGGCTGCCACCTCTGACCGCTGCGGTCACGTAAAGGCACAAGCCAGCTTGGAATTCCAAAGATGGGACAAATCTGAATTCTCTCGGCCTAGGCCACCTTCGCCCGCTCTGGGCACTTACATCTCCGGGCAGGGGAGATAACGACGTACACCCGTTCGACGGGTCCACGGGAGGCACTCTGCGGGCTCATCCCGGGTTGGCACGAGGCCAAACACACTTAGGATAGGGTGTACTGAACTGAAAGCGGTGCCACACGCCGGCCTAGGGTTCCATTTCCTAAGAATACCAGTAGGGAGCCAGTGAATCCTGGGGGTCTTCAAACGGAGAGGTGGCCTGAAAGGAAAGGAAAAGAGCGACGAGCGTGAGTCGAACAAGGTGACGGCGGGCCGCTCGTGTCTGCCGATGCATTAGCCCTTTACCAAAATCTTAAAATTCAAGCAGGTACACAGAGCTGATCAGGCTCTGCTTCCCAGATGCAAGGTAGCTTTGTTAGGCGCAGTCCCTTGCATCTGCTGCGCCCCCCTGCTAAAAGCTCAAAGCAATCCGAAAGGATCCCTATGATTCCAAGGGTTACACACACACACACAC